GCCATAGTAGTCGCCGGCATTGTTGTGGATTTGGTCCATGTGAGGGCGAGGAGCAGGTGGACGAGCAATGAGCAGAGTTTGTAGGTGTCGCTCGACCGACTCACAGGACCAAAGTGGGCGCCGCCGCTGCTGCTGCTGGTGATGTTGTTGGGGACGTTTTTGCAGGGAGCACTTGTAGCCCCGTCTCGTCATCCGCTGATGGTCTGTGTGTGTGCTCGCGTATTTTGTGGTCGTCCCTTGCAGACACGGGGTCGCGATGAAAAGGGAGCAAATTCCTCTCGCGATACAAAATGTAGCCAGCGATATCTCCTGCAAAGACAAACAGACAGAGACACAAGGCTGGATCACCTGGAAGAGCTTTCTGTACCGTGAGTGCATTCATCCATCCATTTGCCTTTGGGCTGCTCCTCTCCTCACCATGGTGGACTCCTGCAGCGGTGGTGGTGGTGGTGGTGGGGCGTTGATGGTGGGGCTTCGACGGCCTTGACCGTCGTGGGAGGGGGCTGGAGGGGTGACTCGGTGTCGGTGACGGGTCCGGGACAGCTCGAATTCGATCCACCTCGCTCCCAGCTCGCCCGCCACCCCACCCTGCACCGTGCTGGTCGGCCGCCACTGGATGAGGACGTTGTTGCCGCTGGTGTCGCCGTGCACCAGGCCGCTGTCGTCCCCCCGCACCGCTGGAGAAGATGTCGGCCAGGCCTTCGCGCAGCAACACTGCGAGCTGGCGGAAGTGGGAGCCCGTGACTCCCAGACGTGCCAGCGTAACCCGCAGGCGCCGCCTCCTGTTGAGGGGGTCGGGATCGGGATCGTCCTCGTCGTCGCTCTCGTCGCCGTCATCGGCCTCCTCGACCTCATCGTGATCCGCGTTGCCCTCGTCTCGCGGCTCCAGCAGCTTGGCCTCTGCGGCCAGCTTCGCACACTGCTCCGGGGTCAGGACCTCCTTCATTGGCACGCCTCGCGTCTCGCGCAGGTAGCGCTTCCTCCACTGGGCCATGTCCTCACCGGGTGACGCTGCAGGCAGGAGGGCAGCACATGACACACACATCATGCGATGCGATACGATACGCAATTGACGATACGCTGTGCGCATAAACTCCTCGTGCATTGGTCTGAGCGATGTGTGTCTGTCTGTAGACCCACCTTTTGGCAGGGAAGATGACGGTCTGGGCCGGCGCAGCTCCTCCGCTACTACTGGTGGCAGAAAAAGCTGCATAACACAGAGCGAAATCCAACACACAGCGAAATCCATCCATCCATCCATTCACTGCTTTCTCTTTCCGGTCTGCGTATGGCGTTGGTCACTTACCGATTCGCTCTGCCATGTAAAAGAGCCCCCTCACTCCCAGCACGCCGTCCCTCGTGCCCGGCTGCTCCCCGCAGCGAATGGGAAAGAGGCCCGGCTCTCCATCCGCCCCCTTTAGGCCACCCCTTTGCCATGGCCGCACGTATGGCCGCCTGCCGTCGGCCGGCACCTCCCCGAAGGCCGTCAGGGTGGCTGTCAGGGTGCTGCGACGGGCGGCCAGCTGCTGCATGGCCGCCACTCCCCTCTTGACGGTCGCGCTCAGACGAAGGAGGTCATCTGGGCTTAGCTCTGGAGTGCCCGGCGCGAAAAGGGAAAGAAGTTCCTCTCGTGATATAAAATGTAAACAGCGATGCCTACTGCAGACAAAGGGACAGAGAGGGACACAAGGCAGACACACATTCAGATCACTTGGACGTCCTCGTGTGCTGCAAATACCTTCTTTGTCTTCTGAGGGTGCCACTGACTGAAGGAGGTCTTGAGGGCTGAGCTCCGGAATGCCGGGCACCGTCTCCTCCTTCCTGTTGACGGTGGCCGTCACCGCCGCGATGCCTTTGGGCACCGGGCACTTCAGCACTAGCCTCCGCCCCGCCGACTTGCCCTCGGCGATGGCAAAGCTGTCGCTGTAGTGCAGCATGCGGCGGCCAGCCGTGCGAAAGCTGGAGAGGGTGGCCAGCGAATCGACTGATATGGCCGCCGCATGCTGTGTGGGGGAAGCGGGGACGATTTGGGCGTGGGGCAGAAGGGGCGAGGAGCCGTCGGATGCCGCGCCCTCATCGTCCATGTCGGCCGCCGCTGGCGAGGCTGGTGCTGCTCGCGGTGGCGCTGGCGGGGTGGTGGTGGTCTTGTCCCCCTCCTCTGCCCCACTCGGCTCCTCGAGGCTGCCCTGGTGGTCGGCTGTGTGGCTGGCAGGTGCATCGGGCTCGACAACACGGTCGCATCTGAATGAACGAAGGCACAAAGGAAGCGACGCTAGATATGCGAAAGCAAATCTCATTCATTTGTGGTCTCGTCGGCTTACTGTCAGATGGCGGTTGAGGGCCAATGAGCTCCATGAACGCAACAGAGAGCTCCGCCCCCTTCCCAATCTGACGCTGGAACCCGGGGGCCGCGATGTCAATGAAAGAAATGAGACTCAGGATATAAAATGTAGCCAGCGATGTTTGCTGCACACACACAGACGGAGACACGAGGCTATGTCATTTGGAAGCTTTTGTGTATCCTGCATACCTTCGGGACTCATTGGTGCGTTCCTGTCCTCATCATCACCAATGTCCTCCTACTTGCTCCACGAGCTCATGGGCGTCGAGAAGGGCCCTGTCCACTGACTGCAGCAACCAGGCGTGCCGCTTCTGGGCCTTCTCGATGGTCACCTTCGTCTTGGTCTCGGCGATGGCCTCTTGGAGGCTCGTGGCGGGGAGGTCGAACAGGTCGCGGACGGCTTCTGTCTCCTTCTCGAGTGGCGCCTCGAAGCGCTTCTTGAAGGTCGCGCCTCGGAAGAATGTCTGCCACTGGTTCGGCTTGTTGGTGTAGAGTGTGCCGTCCTTGTTGATCAGCCGGTCCATGTGTGGCGCCAGCAGCAGATGGGCGAGCAGCGAGGTCGCGCTCGCCCTTCTGGCCATGGAGGGTATCGATGAGGTCCCCGATGGAGACGGCGTCTGTCCATAGCTCGTCCAGCACGGCGTCGTCGTCCTCCTCCTCCTCCTCCTCGTCGCTCTCGTCGTCATCGTCACCCTCGTTGTAGTCCAGCAGCTCCCTCCTGAGCTTGACGACGGCCGCTCTTCCGCCGGTGTAAGCTGCAAAAGGGCAGACAAACACACACAATACAATACAATACAATATGACGGTCACGAACCCGTTCGTTAATATGAGTGTCCTGTGTGTGTGCATGTAGGTGCATGTCATATCTCTGTCAACCCACCTGCTGTGAGTGGCTTCTTCCCGCGCTGACGCAGCTCCTCCTCGACTGCTGGTCGCAGCTGCTCCACTGCTGCCGGCGGCAGAAAAGCTGCATTACATGAACGGAAAGAAGGCAAAGTGGGATTCATGACGCAGGCATCTCCGGTTGTCCGGTAGGCTTACCTATGTATTTTGACATATAGAAGAACCCCCTCACGCCCACGACCTTCTTCTCAGAGCGACAGACCACCCTCACCGGGAAGCGCCCCGGCGCCCTCTCGGCGCTGCCCGCCCTCGTCCCCTTCGGCCACAGCCACTCGCGATCTGCCGGGATGGTGCCGGACGCCACCAGTGCGGACGCGAGCGTGCTGCGGCGCGCCGTCAGCTCGAGGATGGCCTTCACCTCCTGCAGCTGCTCCTCTGTGAGCTCGTCCAGCCCCTCAGGGACGGCGCATTTGAGGATGACGCGGCCGGCAGCCGAGTGGCCCTCCAGGATGGCGAAGTACTTGGGGCTGTGGTGGACGAGGCACCTTACGGAGGGGCGGAAGGTGGAGAGGATGGCCAGCGACGCCTCCTCTGATGTGTCTGCCGCCTCCTGTGTGCGCGCGTCAGAGGCCGGTGCGTTGTGGATGTGGGGCAGCAGTGGCGAATAGCCGTCAGACGCACCGCCCTCGTCCTCGGTGTCGCCTTTCCATGACGATGCGCTTCGGCGTCTCCTCGCCGTTCGTGTCCTTCTGCTTGCCCTGCTCGTCGGCAGGAACAACAATCGCAGGAACAACACACACACCTCAGATGCCGGCAGGCAAGGAAATGTCATTCATGAACACTGTTGTCTTTCCGGCTCACCGTCGGCTGAGGATTGAGGGAGAGCTTGAAGTGGGAGACATGCGGGGCTGCGTGGAAGAAGTCCTCTCGCGATATAAAATGTAGACAGCGATATCC